TTGCGGCCCTTCGATGCTAATATTCATTTTGCACTTGTACGTTTTATATCAGGTTCTTAACTCCATCGTGCAGATACGTGTAAATCAAGTATTCAGTAGCGAAATAAGATTCAGTTGACGGAGCATAATAGCAATATTATGAATCGACAACTAAACTGAGTTGAAAAAAAAAATTGCATTAAGAATCGCCTTTTTCTTCTCAGATGAATACGTACCGGCCTAAAGAGTCGTAGGGTTTCCACAACATAACCGTAAAGCAGAGCAGCAATTAGGTGCTCGAGTCAGCATTTTTGGTTCCCGAGTTAGCAACTTTCTCGCCAAAAATCTTTGCTGTCTCATACGTGACAACCACGCATACCTGGGGCTGAATTTGAAATCGTTAAGTTGTTCGTAGACATGGAACATCCCCTTAAAATTTTAGTCCCCCAACTTCTCTGGTTTCCGAGTTAGCGATTTTTCTGCCAAAGCCTTCATGTACTCGTACGCGCGGTCCAAACGTGCGTGTAGATTGGTACCGCGGTCCTAAGATGCCACTTGGTCGGGGAACCAATAACAAAATTTCAGCGCCAGAACTTGCTTGATTGCCGAGCTGAAATGTCCGGACGAACGTACGCACACACACACACACACACACACACACACACATACATACATACATACACACACACACACGCAAACAAACATACACACAGCATGGGTCGTAGTAATATGCGTTTTTACTTGCAGCGCTACTACAGCCAGCAAAAATGCATATTGTCGAGAGGTCGTCTGTATGTGTGTATGCATGTGTGTGTGTGTGTATGTGCGGAAATGAGTGCATTATGTCACCCACTTTCATCTCAGCAACCGGGAAAGCTGGAAGGCTGAAATTTGGGTGTATGTTCCTCCGTGTGTCACCCTTCCATTTTGAGATCTCCCCCACACACGCCTAGGCCGTGCGTATGGCCCCTCCCCAAAAAATTTGAAAATTCCTTTGGCGGGAAACAATTATGCGAAGAAGGCAAGATACAAGGCTGAAAGTTTGCAGAGATATTCTCTTTGCATGTACGAGCTAAAGATTTCAAATTCAGCTGCCACGTACGCTTGTGAAGCGCGTACGATCAGATCAAAGTTTGCAAATTGGTACTGTGTTAACTCGAAAATTTGCCGGAAAACACTGGCTAAAATTTTGTCAGCATGTTTGTCGCCCACATAGGGAACCATATTCCTAAAACGAGTACCGATTTGCACTTGTATCACGATTTATGGCACTTCAAAGATATTTGTAGCGAAGTGGATATTTCGCTTACGGAATAACGTGCAAGGCTGAAAATTCGCTGGGATATTCTACTTTCAACTGCTGTCTTAATTCCACTTGGAACTGAAATTCGCTGCAGGTGGGTACGAGAAATAGTCACCTTTGCCAAAAAAATCAGAAACGAGTGCGTTTTGCAGCAAACGACCGTCCTCATCTAAATAAGTAAATGAACATTCACCATAATGCACCACTTCCATCCCAACCGATGCCCTTTCGCCTGCATACTGGAAAGGGTCAAAATTTGGCTAACATGAGCTCAAGTATTAGCGCAGGGATCATTCCTGCTATTAGCGACCAGCGGGTTTAGTTCGAAAACGCTTGACCGCATCGGCAAGCCTGGTGCGTTCCAGTCTGGACAGCATTTGCATATATGCAAAAACGCAGAAAAATGTTTGACGATATGCACTGTTTCCATCAATTCCGCTTCTCTTGCACGTGAACAGTATTCTGACCCAGTAAAATTTGCTCAAAATTTTTTTGCTGAAATGAACCTGAAAATAAACCTCTTTTATGTGTGCCTCCCGAAATTTCTGTACCGCTTGTAGAGTTTCCTGGTAATCGGCAGACTCCTTTATATCAGGAATTTTTGAAGCATTTTGTCGAACCCAAACGATAAATTCACGGTGCTTAGGCGGCATGCAACCACGTTGGTTATCTAAGAAGGCTCGTTCCACTCCGAAATGTTCAATTCCAAGGAATTCATCAATGACATGGAACACCGAACTTTGTGCCGCCGAGGCTCCGCTAAATCGCTGTGGGCCTAGATCTTCCTTTCCTGAAACACTACATTCAACTTATCAAAAGTGCTGAAAGCTGCAGATAGACAGGTGCACTGTGAGGGGGTCATAAAAATAGAAAGGATTGTTTTTTATCACTTTTGGTCGAAAGTATCTTTCGATACGCTTAAAAAATCACAGTCAAAAGTAATCTTTTATTCATCGTTACAACTTCATCCATCCCAAATTCATTTAAAAATATAGTAAAAAACGATGTGAATAAAGTTTCTAACATACTGTCAGCCTTGTAAAAATACTGATTTTTCATATACTATCTGGAAATAACTGCGGCTACTCATTCAGCTCATTCTCCATTGACTACTAATCGAGAAAATAGGCAGTCTATGACATAGCCAGAATTTTTAGGCACAAGAGAATGCATGGGACAAAGGAAGCCACATACCAGGGCTGGCCGGTGCGACCATGTGTTTTTACATGGTTCCATCTTGTAGGGGGGTGAAGTATTGCAATTTGAACATTTGATGCGCCTTATAAGCAGGGCTCGTGCTTAGGTGGTAGCTCATCTTAAGCTTGATGGCCCGTATTATCAGCAAGTTTGCTAGAAAAATATCGCTTCCTGTTTAGTCTGGTTACTAAGTTAACTGGGTGCAGGGGAAAGAAGAAACTGTCCCTAACTAAAAATTCACCTGCGTGTGTTTTAAAGATCAATCTGTAATATTTAGGAAGCGCGTTGGCGTAGGGTAATCCTTGTGAAGTCTCGGCTCCCTAGTGTGAATGGTTGGCGAATCCATTTTTCGCTACGGATGTTTGGACAACAGTACAGGCAAGTGCCAAAGCTCATTTTACAGAAAAGCATATGTTTTCTTAGAGTTGGCTTTAATCAGCTTAGTTCGTGTTTATGCAGATATGGATTGAAACTTCACCTAGGTTTTGCAAGTCAGTTTATTTCAAACTAAAATACCCGTTCTCGTGAGAGATCTATTTTGGCTACGTGAGGTACTGGGCACCGTCATTCATCTCATTCTTCGCGATCTGTAACGTATATCGCGCAGCTGAGCATGTTTAGTATCTTGCCAGCGGTTATAAAATCCCGACTTTGGCGTGTCCGCGCTTGGGCATAGCCGTGCGTTAGCTGATTTGAAATGTTCGCTTCATGCAGTGACATTGAACATTTCTACGAAGTTTCAACTTTTTGAATTTACTGGTTTCTGAAATTGTTTAACCGCCAGAAAATTCGCATGTTTTCTTTTAGACGTCCGTAAATGACAGGCGTACGTAAACTTTCATTTCAAGTTGACTGGATGGTACGTGGGCCAAGAGCATTTATATGAGATTCCAGTTTCCCAGCTTCCGCAATTGCTAATTTGAGTGCGTGTGGCAAAAAAAATTCAAGTGCATACACAGAAAAGCGCACCAAAAACTTTTTGACAACATGCGTTTTTGCATTTGTACAAAGATGCAAAGCTGCACAAAAATGAAAAATTACCTTCAAATATGATGCCACCTTGCTTGGCGAAAACATCCCCCGTGTACCCTGATAAAAAATGACGAAAACCGTTGTAGAAAGCATCAGGTGACACGTGCTCATCCATGCGCTAAATTAACATTTTATTTAATTAGAAGGAAGAATAAAGTACCAAAGAGATAAACAGCGCTTTGGAAGTCTGTGTTTGCAGTAAAATTTTAAGCGGAACTCAAAAGCTTGCTGCTTCCTCACACGTTTGATTTTCGGAGTCTTAATTCATGCAATGTTCACATTGCGCCGTTTAACAAAAAACCCGGGCTAAACGCATGATCACACCCAGACCGGTGTGATAATGCGTTTTTATTTTAAATCGGTAGATTGTAAAAGGCAGAAATGGTTCCTGCACTGTAGTTTAACGCTTAGACTCGTTTTGGATGCAGGTGGAAAGGGCGCTGACTGTGATGAAGGTGTGCATTGTGGGGACGCGTGGACCCCCGGTGTGCATGATTACCAATCTTTCGCATGAAACTCGGTAGTTTTTCCGGCGAATGCTTGTTCATAGAAAACCCACAATGGAACGGACCAGGCTTGCCGGTGCGATCACACGTTCTTGCATTAAGCTCGCAGAGTCAATAGCAGGAATGG